AGGAGGAGTAGATTGATAAATCAAATAAAAGAGAGTATCAAAGTTAAATCGCGGAAGCAAAATAGGTATACAAGAGCTTAAAGCTCTGATACCATGTAAGAAAGTGGAGTTTTGAGATTGAAGAACAAGAGAGAGATGAGAGAAAAGAGTAAAGAAGGAGAAACTTTTTCCTTAGATCTGAAAAAATAACGTTACAATAAGTTATAAAGAGAGGGGATATTCTTATTCTAGTAACCAAACACACTTGGCTTACTAGAGAAGCTAGAATAAATAACTACTATATTTATTTAATTCAATACTCTGGATTTTCTCACTCCATCAACATTTGTAAGCTCTCTCTTAAAACATCTATGGATTCTCTCAGAATCTAGAGAGAAAATACTGCACACACGACTATACTGATGTTAAATAAGTTACAAAAATCAGTCTGATATGGTTTTAGCTCAAGTCTCCATCTTTGTGAAATATTATTTCTTTATCGTTTCTTTGCATTTCAGTTTCATGAACTAAAATTCACCAGAACCTTCCTTTCATTAGCATCTAAATCCAATAAAGCCACAGTTGAACTTAAAGAATTTCAAAAAAGATTTTTCGCTATAAAACAATAAATAAAGTTGAAACGTTTGGTGTGCATTGGCACCACATAAACTCAAACAAGTTCATCAAAGACTATTTCCTCAACATATCAATGTTAGACTCAGTATTTTCGGTAGTTGATGCCATCATTGATGCAAAGCAAATCAATCTCGACAATGCTAGCTGGCTTCGTCAAAACCAGGTATTAAAACAATGAAATGGTCATAAACCACCCACCAAAACCTGTTAGTTGTTCATAATGATTAAACTCTTCCAAAAACTATGTCATGTCTCTCTGGAATTAATTATTGTTAATCTATAATGTCATGCTTCAATGACTATATGATATTCACCATGTGCGACAAGAGGAAGACGGAGAAAAATAAGACAGAGGGAAGAGACCGGAAGAGAATATAAGAGAATTTCAAGATTGATCTAAGGATTTTTTTTGAGATAACGCTACTATAAATTATTACTATTTACTAAGCGTGTGGCAAATGAAGATCGACATGAAAAAAAAAATGAAAAAAAAGGTCGACATAAAATATTGTTGCATATGGCTCAGCTAAGAAACTACTGGTTCAAACACTAAAAACCCCAACTACAATTCTCTTTATTTCTTATAATAGGAAAAAAAGACTTCTATAACTAAGGTCAAAGAACAACAAAAAGATTGTATTACGTGATATCTTAAGAAGTACAGAAATAGTAAATAGGTTGAATCAAATATTCAGTTTAACAACTTGCGGGGATAGCTCAGTTGGGAGAGCGTCAGACTGAAGATCTGAAGGTCGCGTGTTCGATCCACGCTCACCGCATTATTCAACTTTTTAATTAGGCCTAGGCATTTTACCCGAACCCGAAGATCCGAAAATTTACAAGTACCTATTGGGTCTAAAATTTTTTTACCCGAATAGTCCCGGACCCGAAAAGAACCGACCCGAATGGATCCAGACCCTAAAGAATCGACCCGAATAGACCCGACTCGATAAGAACCGATTTGTACCCGACTTATAAACATGTATATCCAAAACTATTATTTTTGTGTTATGTTTTATATACCTAAACTATTTTATAATTTAGTTGAAATATCTTTTGTTAACAATATTTATTATTATTTGTAATATTTTTAAGTAATATAAAGCTTTAAAATGTAAAATTTAGAGTTTAAAAATGCATTATTCAACTTTTTAATTAGGCCTAGGCATTTTACCCGAACCCGAAGACCCAAACCGGAACTGACCCGAAAATACAGACCCGAAAATTTACAAGTACCTATTGGGTCTATATTTTTTTTACCCGAATAGACCCGAACCCGAAAAGAACCGACCCGAATAGATCCGGACCCGAATAGACCCGACCCGATAAGAACCGATTTGTACCCGACTTATAAACATGTATATCCAAAACTATTATTTTGTGTTATGTTTTAAATATCTATACTATTTTGTAATTTAGTTGAAATATCTTTTGTTAACAATATTTATTATTATTTGTAACATTTTTAAGTAATATAAAGTTTTAAAATGTAAAATTTAGAGTTTAAAAATGTTTTCTTTAATTATTAATAGTTTAATTTAATTTATTTTATAGAATTTTAGATATATATGAAAATATTGACTGAATTTGAGTGAATTTGGGCATGTTATGTATTTTTAGATGCTAAATACCTGGATCCGATCCGGACCCGATATAGATCTGAAAATTACTGGTATTTTACAGGTATTGGAATTATAGATCCGAACCGACCCGGATCCGGTAAGATCCGACCCGAAACCGACCCAAAAATCATAGGTACCCATATGACTCTAAATTTTCAAGACCCGGACCTTACAGGACCCGACCCGGATGCCAGGCCTATTATTAATTTGTGACTGCTGGCCCATATAATAAAAGCCCAGTTATGTCTAAACAAACTGCTAAATTTCTTTCAGCCCAACTAGCTGAGCATTTTATTTTGTTGCTGTGACAAGAGATGCATAGCCCATATAAAAAGAGCCCAGTGTCTCTAAATAAACTCTGTACCCTAACTTTTTATAAACCCAACCACCCAGCTGAAACTAAATCTGTACAATGTCAAAAAATTCAAGGTCTACGGTAAACTTCTGTACAACTTGATAGTTTAACTTCTATGTATAAGAAAAAGTAATAAATATTATTACCGGTAATATGATCCGACCGTATCTTTCAGGTTTAGGCAAATCGTTCTGAAATAATCTTTGGAGAATCTCAGACAAAAGGAACGCTTTCATACAATGTAGTAAACTATAACAAACGGAATTTTTCGGAATCGGGATATATATTATTATAACCTGGAAAGTGCGAGGAAGCGATGAATACACGTGTGGTCGTACAGTAGAAGAAGTCAATAAGAAAGAAAGAAATTATATAATGTAGTGTCTGTAAAGCTTTGATGCTTCAGCCTGCCCAAATCAAACAATAAGTCAGATCATTAATCAAACGCATTCTATTTAGACAAGAATGATCTAGTCAGAAACATGGACAGAGTTACGGACAAGATATTCGTAGGGTTTATGCGTTTTGTAGATTCAGTTCGTAATACTTTGTTAAGAAGATCAATATTGTTATCAGTAGAATGTGCATCAAGAACCGAGCTCTCTTCTAGTACACAGAACAATTTTTCATTGTATCATATACTATACAATAGAAGAGTTATTCGCATAATATGCATTATACAAAATAATATTATACTCCATGTTCTACGAAGATTTGTAATTTTAGATTTTTCACACCTTTAATGATAAAAGTTTCAACACCAAAAATAATCCTACTTTAGTACATAACTATAAAAGAAGAAAAATATTATATATATAAAATAGAGAGAGGATCTATAAAATTACATTGAAAACACAAACTACTATTTTTATGAAACAAATAAAAATTCTAAAACTAGTATCTTGTGGAACGGAGGTAGTATATTTTTCTCTTTACTCTAGTTTTTTTCTATGGTAAGCTTATTTTGTGTCCTGACGTTTGGTTGATCCCTGTCCATTTACGTATATCGTTGACGAGGTCAAGAGATGATTTCTCTCCCTTTTCAAATTTTGCATATAATCACTCTTCTTCCCATCATTTTTTTATTTATTACATCGTCATTGCCTTTTGATTTGTTCAAGCAGTAACACGATTCGTGACCAGGTTCTAATGCAACCGCTATAGACTATATATCTCATTGTCGTATGTTCAATTTTTCTCCCTTCTGTGTTAACCCATAGAGAAACATTTGTTTTATACCTTAGGTTGGTTAGGTTGTGCAACATAAGAGTAACTGATTATAGTTTTGTCCGTGTCACACAAATTTATTATTGCTCTCTTCTCTATTTGTTAATAATGGATAGCAAATCCAATTTGGCAGTAACTTTATCACCAAGACAAAAGCAATGAAGCCAGGAGGAGCATTTGCACTAAATACGCATGCAACATCATATGTACCACTCTCCAAAAAAGTTGATTGTGATGATATGGATGGTTTGGCCACACATAGCGTGCATGAACAACAACAGATATTCATTCCCAAGACATTGTCTGAAATGGCATACAAGCAGATAAGAGATGATGATGATTTGGATATAGACATGGATATTGAATACCTTCTCGTCACATTCTCTGGTCTCTCACAAGAGTCTATAACTGATGTATACCTGGCCAATGGAGCTGATCTTGAAGAAACCTTTGAGATGCTGAATCACTTTGAGGTAAGTTCATCAGTCATCTTTTCTAATCATTCACATGAAACATCATATATTTGTTACATAACCGATGATTTTGATCTATCTTGTTGTAGATATACAGCACTGAAACTAAAGAAAACCTCCCTGAGATGCTGGATCTTGGGGATCTCTCTGAAACGGGGCCTTCAACCTCAAAGGCTTCAGCACAAAAGACGGCAGCTACAGAAGTCGCTGTATCACCACCATTGGATATTCCCAGTGCAATTGTATCGGCCTGATCTGATATGTCATTGGTTGTGAAGTTTTTATTTATTTTTCGTTTGGACACCCATAATAAGTACAGTAATGGGGTGTGTTGTATCAGTGAAGGTGATGGTAATCTTGAGGTTTAATGATATTGAGAGTGGTTAATTAAGTGATGTTGAAAATTGAAATTTTGTAGTTTTTGAAAGTGGAAATCTGAGTGATGTGTTTGTTGGTTGGCAGATAGTCTAGTCTTTTGGCACTTTTTGTTTGCAACTCCATTTCTTACGGATGGTATTAGTATGTTTGTTTACATGTATCTTGCCATTTTATTTGTTATATGAAATTATGTAATCATTGTAACACTTGCCGTTTTGATAATGGAGAAACCGTATTTTCTAGAAAAGAATAGAGCAAATAAAAAGATAAATATATTTGATGTATAGCAACAATATATAACCTTGATACAATATGTCAAACTCTTCAATCCTCTATAGTACACAAACAAATATAAATATCAAAATTAAAAAGGCAAATCCTTATCCTCAAATCCTCTGGATCATATAGATATCAGTACTACACCATTATTAATCTTGTAAATCATATGATCTCCTCACATGTCCAAAATATAGTAACAAAAAAAACGACAACATTTCTTCAGCCTTCTCATACAAGAAAATAGAGATAAGCAAGACATTTCTGTTTTATATAAAACCCTACACCATAACAACTCACTCGGTATAATAAATCATCTCATTTCAAAAGTACCAGAGATTTAAAAATTACTTTAAAAAAAAACACACTGCTTATATCAAAAACCTTCAAAATAAAACAAGAACCAGTTTAAGCCTTGCGAACGCTGAGGAGCTTAACATCGTCGATCACTGGTCCACACAACGACGAGAAATCATCACTTCTCATCGCATAAAACGTGCTGTAAAACATAACCCTCGTGCGGTTTGAAACCGCCACAAACCGCAAAGAAGCTCGTTTGAAACCTCCCTTTCCTTTCGACTCGTAAGGAACCTTTAAAGTGTCTCTTCCCGCAAACGCCTCGACTATCATCGATCCTTGGCAGGCGTTGTTCGCATCTCCAACGGCAAAGGAAAGCACGTAAGTCTTCCCTATGACGGTCCTAGCCACCTGAGCGATCGCGCTTTCTTTCCCCGCAACTAGTTCAACGGCTCGACGGCCTTGAGGGACAGAGAAGTGTTCGACGTCAACGTATTTGACGGCTTTGAGGGATTCTATCATCCAACCGGGTAAAGGAGAGTGGTCATCTTCTATGAATGGAGGAATCAGAACGCCGGTTGTGGAGTTTGGGAGTAGGTAAGGACCTTCTTCGAATCCTCCATTTTTCAATATGTTCTCTGTTTGATATCATAGAAAAAAACATCAACTGATTAGTTCTTGTACATGTCTTGGCTAACACATGCCATAGACCACAGTCATGTAATGCAACCAATCCATTTAAAATCTCTGTTCTTACTCAAGGTTATAAATTACAAGTGGACATATGAACCTAATCTAACCAAGCCAAAATCTTCGAAACAGAATTTCTTTATAAGTTTTTCTATATGTAAACCAAAACTACTGAACCAAAATTCATTACACGTACCAAGCTTTTTGTATCTGGTCATATATTAGAAATATAGTTAATAATTGTAGAAATTTGTATTCAGATATTTGTATAATTAAAAATTCACTACACCTAACTGAAATTTTTACAGACCATTTAAAAAGTCTCAGTTCTAATGCAATCAGTAAAGAGCAATAGAGCATAGACCAAATATTCAAATGTAAATGATATATGTAAAAAGCACATGTAGTTTCTAAACATGACAGATCACATTTGATGATTAATGAAAATGATATATTTCTTAGAATAATAATAATAGATATAAAAATTAGAAATAGACTTACTATTGGTAGGTCTTGGAGGGTATAGAGCCTTGATGGCCACACCATCAATGAGTGGTCCACAAGCAGGATCTTCTTCCTCGCCAGGATTATGAATCACGATCTCTGCCACGTTACTCTCAGCCTGAAACGCCCAGGCGTAAAGGTCCCATCCACTGCTACTGTACACTGTCTGTATAGGAATGACACCCGAGTCAGGGGCTACCGATATGTTGAGCCGTTCGTCTTGAGCACAAGTCCTTGCGGCACTAAACGTGAGCGAATAATACATTCCTTTTGTCACGTTAAGTCTCTGTTTGATTGATGCTTCGTTTCCTAGCCGGACTGCGAATTTTCCAGCAGGGACTACTAGGAGCATGTCTCCTTGTTTTTGACCGGATTTAATGTATTCGACGAAGCCCGAAAGCTCCCAGTTTGGAATAGCGTTCTTGTTTAAGACTCGTGTTCCTTTCATGTCCGATGGTTTTGGTCCTAACTCAAAATCCCCGTTTGGTAACATCCCTGCGTTTACAAAATTGCCCTCGGGTATCAGTGAAATTGTTACATTTTTGGATTAAATTCATTTTCACATACAATAAAAATATTATATACAAGAGTAAAATAAAGAGAAATGTTCTATATCCATAAGAAACAACACTGAAAATATTTAATAAAATGGTCTCGACCAGGCTTTTTTCTCCGACCAGACTTTTTTTGTTTAGGTTGGAAGAGAGTTTGAAAAGAAAATAAACTGACCTAAGTATTTCTTTTCACACACACAAACAGAATTATGCTTCTAAAGAAACATGTCACTATTTCTCAAAACATGAAACAAATCACCAAAGATGCAATCATATATTAACCTTTTGTCAAAAAAAAAACATGGAGAGTATATATGTCATGTTGGAGTGTATGTCTGTAATTGATGATTACCATCACGGAAGCAGAAGATGGATGTGACGGTGGAGATGAGAAGAACGCAGAGAAACGAGACGGTGCCTCCTTTCATTGCTAACAGTCAGAGTTGAAAAGATGGATAGATTCTACTAAAAAATATGGGAGATTATGAGAGGAGAGGCAATTGCTTATATGCATTTACAACTTGGAAAGTACCTCAAGATTTTACTATAATTTACGGATTTATGCCACTGATGTGGTTTGCGTATCCACGTGGGGCCGTGACTCACTCTTTTGGGATTTAGCAGATATTGCAGAAGTGAATAGTATAGCAAAGAATAATAATCTAAACAAACATCTATAAACAAACATAATCAATTTAAGTAAATTATATTAAATTATTGTTTATACACTCAAAATATTTAATAATAATCTAAACAAATTTTTTCTATATATAAAATTTTTCATCATCATATAAATAATTGTCATTACACAAATTAAATGTGAAAATACTCATAAATTTAAAATATTTAGTAATAAATTAATAGCATTTTTAGACATAAAAAAATATATAGTAAAATTATCTTTAGTAATTTAAACTATCTATACATAAATTCTTTGCGAATTATTTTTTTCATAACTAAATATATATTAACAAATATAATTATTTTTCAAGGTTAATAAAGACTTATAACACAATATAAAATAATAGATAATGATAATTATCAAATTCATGAAATTCGTTTTTAATTTAGAATTAATTATATTAACAAATATAATTATTTTAAATATAATTATTTTTCAATGTTGATAAAGACATAATAAAAAAAAATAAGGATGAGTATCAAATAAATGGAATTTATTTTTAATTTATAATTAATGATATATTACTAAAAATATAATTATATTTCAAGGTTAATAAATATTTTATAATCCAATAAAAAATAGTTTTATATAAAGATAAATCTAAAATCATTGAAATTCATTTTTTACTTATGTTTAATTACATATTGAATTTTTTAATTATTATATAGTAATAAATCTTTTTTTGGTCAAATAGTAATAACTATTAATCAGTATAGTAATAAATCTAATTAGTCGTTAAGTTTATGTTTGCTTTGTCATTAAGGGTAGTAAAAATCATAAGAACATGACAATTAGATTTACTATCCTTAATGAATAATTACATTTATTATAATCATTAGTCTAGATAATGATAATCATCAAATCATAAGTTTCATGACAAATAAGATTTGTTTCTAATTATTATATAGTAATAGATCTAATTAGTCACTATATAGTAATAAATCCAATTAGTTATTAAGTTTATGTTTGCTTTGTCATTAAGGGTAGTGAATCTAATTAATATACGGTTCATAATTATATAATAATAATTTTATTTAGTCATTAATTAAGGGTAATAATTAATTATTTGTCAAAATCATAAAAACATGATAAATAAGTATAATTACATAAAATTATGGAGAATATGATAAATCAGCAAATTCACTTATTTAAATATAATTAATTTATTGTTACTTATATATTAATTCAGTTTTAGTTTATGGTTTATTAATATCAACTATTTTTAGATAATAATAGTCATCAAATCAGTGAAATTTGTTTCTAATTTGTGGTTGATTATATATTAATTAAATATATTTTCTGATAAGAACACAATATATATATGAATTATCTTTTTATTTTATTTTTAAATATATATTTAGAATGTGGATAATTTTTATCTTTATTATTAATTTAAATTATTCATCTAATCAAATAAATATAAATTCGTTTTATTTTTATTTTTAGCTGATTTATATATTTTATTCATTAAGGGTATAAACGATATTAACCATTCCAACTTTTAACGTAGGAGCTTCATTGCGAAAAATCAATTCGCAAATAATAGTATAGATAGGTATTCAGACATTCAACATGTTTAATGGAGGTTAATGGCATTAACTCCAAATCTCCAATGAACATTATTTTTTCTTCTGTTTTTGTAACTCATTGTTTTCCACTTTTCCTGCTATTTCTTGCATATCTCATAGTTGTATAAATTAATGTACAAGCAAATCTACAGTGCACTGAATGATATCATTAGAAGTGAGTTGGCAAACATTAAGAAATAAGGAATTTCCATAGAAAACAAAACATTAGTCGGTTTGCATGTTGTTTATATTAATTTAAAAGAGAACTAACAAAAGATTGTGTTGATTACACATAAAAAAAAGAT